ATAATGATGACATCGATTTAAAATTGATCCAACCATAATACCAATTGTTTTACCCGTAGAAAATATTAATATCATTTCTAGTAACTGATGCAAAATTTAATATCATTTTCTGCAACTGATACAAGTTCACATCAATTGTAACAACTGATGAAAATATTTATATCGGTATTTTAAAGTGATATAAAATATTTGCATCACCATTATCAGAGTCATTTATGTAAATGATGTAAATTTTATTTGTATCAATTATAAATGATACAAATATATAAAATAAATGATGTATTACAACTTTTTTTTTAGTGTTTGATTACTTAAATCAAATGGTCTTGTCATGGTAAATTAAACAAGTTTTAAGATTTTTAGGCTCGGTGACACAAAAATATTAGAGTCGAATTGCATTAAATATTATAATTTGATGTATATTCATATAAAAACATATGGTAAGAATTCTAATTTTTTTCGGTTAATTTGCTGTCAAAGTATGATCTAGTATTGCGTCCAACTACCAACTATAACAGCAGAAGCTCTAAATAATTATCTTCATAGTGTGAATCAGCAGTTTCCCTTCCCAACTTTTTCGTTCATATTTTGACTGTAGAAATGGAACTCATTTTAATATGGCAGTTTCATTACAAGAATCGTCCGTTTCAAAATTCATAAAAGAACCCCGACCGTTTCATTATTAACCACGAGAAGCTGTTGGGCTTGATGAGGCCCATCAGAACTTCAATTATAAACCTTCCCAAGTCCCAACCGTCACCGTGACTGCTGACTGACTGTGAATGCCAAATGGTATCAACCCTAAAAATGTAGCTGGATGCCAACCCTAAAACGAATGCCGAATACCAAATGCCAAATGATTTCTTAGCAAAAAAAACCAACTCTAAAATGTAGCTGGTTGGTGAATATCTGAAAAATATATTTAAAATAATTTGGCCTTTTCTTAGTTTTTCTAAAAAGATTCGTGGTGTTAAAGAAGCGAACGTTTCATGATTGTATAAACAAAGAAAACAAGTGTTATTATAAATTTAAAGAAGCGGTTAAGGTTGTCTTCTTGTGGAGAGTGTGGCAGAGATAAAATTTTCAGTGACGTCACACTTTGCTTCAAGGCGCATGTAGATGCATATCTCTTCTCTCGTGTTCATTGGCTTTGATTGCTTTTGGAGAGAGGAACAATGTTATTTGTAAATAAAATTGTCTTTTACATATATAATCCATACTTTGGATATATATTTTGAATTTTCGCATGCAAAAGTAGATTACTTCATTGAAATTTCACCACGATATATGTATAATCACTACAAAAAAAAGATGTTTGTAACATCATTTATTTTGTTTGTTTAAATCAATTATAAATGATGTAAATATATTTTGCATTATTTATGTAAGCGACTC